GCTGGAGAGTGAGTTTGGCATCCCTGTGTGCCATCAGCCAGTCACCAGAACGCCACAAATATTTTTGGAATGGGAGTTTTCAGCCCAGTGTTGTCCTGTGGTTTGTAAAAGTTCACTTTATAAACCTTGAGTACATGCTAAGAAAAACAAAAACACAGGGTGATCATCGCCCCTAAAGGTAAATATTCAATTCAGGCTCTGCCAAAGCAGGACATTTACCCAGTGAACCCTCAGAGAGAGCTTGGTTTAGCTTTCCTTACATGTAGTGTCATCGTTTCTGGCCACTCTTCAAGAACCTGACTAATGAAATCAAAATTTATGTAATTCTTCAAAACAGTTTTGAATTTTTTTCTCTCTCTCACCAGCTGTAGAGGTTTAGTGACGTAAAATAAATGTTAGCGTGTGGTTGTGTTTTCAGCAACAGGCTCCAGAACAGGAGGTTGTCTACCTCTTTATTCCAACTCAGGCAGTCGGGGCCCTGATTGGCAGGAAGGGCCAGCACATCAAACAACTGGCCCATTTTGCTGGAGCCTCCATCAAGGTGGGTTTTATTAACATCAGTGGAGCTCTGACTTCACTGGTTAACTGCATTTTTCAAAGCTTCAAATACAGCTTTAGAGTTATTAAGTTGGAAGTGAGTGCTGGCTGAGTCAGCAGCACTTCATGGACCACAGCTGAGGATGTTAGTTATTTATAGACAAAAACAGCAAAAGGGGAGATGACTAGTGAGCTGAGCAATTCAGAAAGCCCCTCAAGCCTCGTCAGGACAGGTGGGACAGCTCATCAGTGAATTCTCATAACGTAATCACAGGGAGTGATTTTTCTGTTGATAGGTTTTCTGGCTTCTCGGGTGATTCAGTGGTTTGCACAGAATGATGACAGAACAAGATCACTCGCTTTAGCCATATTTTCTCCTCATTTGTTTCTGTGTGGATGTCAGATTGCTCCAGCTGAGAGCCCAGATGTTACTGAGAGGATGGTAATCATTACTGGAACTCCAGAGGCTCAGTTTAAGGTAAAAACACTATGAACGTCAGTTTTCATCAAAATGTCATTGTTTAATTCTGAAATGTAGGATAAAAATTCATAAATATTTTTCAAAAGTCATTTATGTGTCCTGTGTTATAGTAAACAGCAGTGGATCACTGTGTGTCTCCATTTTTCCCAGTGTCTCCTTGCCTCATTCCCTCCTCTGTATTCCAGGCCCAAGGTCGGATATTTGGGAAACTGAAGGAGGAGAATTTCTTCTCGGCGAAGGAAGAGGTCAAACTGGAGACGCACATCAAGGTCCCCTCGAGTGCAGCTGGCAGGGTCATCGGTAAAGGTGGTAAGACGGTGAGTTGATGTTGACATTAAGCCAAATCAAGGTTAGAAAAAATCACTACCTGCTACTTTAACTATGTAAATTATATTCTGCACTTAGAGTTTTTTTGAGTAATTCCATCATTTTACTCAACTATTTCATTTTTACATGCAGGACAACCAGAAATGTTTGGTTAAATGTAACAGTTTGTCAGCAAAGAAGTCCGGTGTTTTGTTTTTTCATTTCCATTTTCCACCTGGAAGTCTGTAGTTTGAATTCTTCTAGATAAAAAACAACTCAATGAACAGTTTCTATACTGAACAGTAACTCAACCATAATTTATTAAAGGAGCAAATATTTAGATTTACATAAGAAAACACTAGCGTGTTTACTTAAATAGGTTATCATGAAGGTTGCTCCACACCAATAATCCCTGTCCATGCTTGGTTTCATTCAAGAGTTTATCATAATGTGATAGCTTGTCTCTCAGTGAGCGATGTCAGTGTGTTTTGTAAGTGAGGCTGGAGGTGACATGACGTCCTTTGTGTCTGTTTCAGGTAAACGAGTTACAAAACCTTACGAGTGCAGAGGTCATCGTACCGCGGGACCAAACTCCAGATGAGAACGATGAGGTCTTTGTGAAAATCAGTGGGCATTTCTTTGCTAGCCAGGTACACAAAACTAAAGTCACTCAGGGGGTTCGGTGCCAGTTATTTGGCTGAAGAGTTTGTAGAGGTCAGCTACTGTTCATATGTCAAAAGAAGGGCTGCACTTGTTATTAATGCTGTGGTGAAAGAACGGGATGCAGAGAATCACGAGGTGCAAGAGACAGTGATGGATGCATGTCATGCATGTACTAACTGTGCCTCCACCAATCAGTCACGTTGTAGTTTACATGCATGTCCATCCAGATTCATACATGTCTGTGTCATCTGTCTCATTCTCCTATCTCAGCAGTATCTTGGGGGGATTTCTTTAAATTTGACACAAATGTCAAACTCAAAAAAGAACTGAAAAGAGTTTGGTTGTCAAAGGTCGGAGGTCAAGGTGACTGTACTCCTTTGTAAAAACAGTCTTTAAGTAAAGACAGCATGTTTCTCAATAGGCATTATTCACTAGAATCATAACTTCAGTTTACGCTTCCTACACTTAATATTGTTTAGGTTTCTTCAGTCTTTACTACATGTTGTATATTACATGGGTCTGGACAGACATGCATGTAAACTGCAACGTGACTGGTTGGAAGAGACATACTGCACTGGTAATTCTAGTGTGGTTTTGTCTCACTGCTCATCTTAGAAACCTTAGCAGCTAATATTATTAACTGTTAACTTCAGTTTAAACTATGACTTGTTTACTATGCACCAGTTGGAATTAAAAGTTGTCCCTTGGTCGAGACCTGGGCGGAGGTCTAACCGTCAAGAAGCTCAGAACAGCTGTGTGAGTGCAGGCCAACTGCAGGTATAAAGGTCAGAGCACAGCCTCACAGGTGTCTGCAGTAGGTCTGGCAGATTAGACTTGTGTTCAGGTTGTAGGTGGGTGGATCTGTGCTTGGAATTACAGCACATGATGCCAACAGACTTCATCTGCTAAGAACAGTGATAAAGGTATTACAGCTACAGTTACTGCTGACAAATGTATACTCATTATGTTTTATTTATACCTTTAATATTACAATACTTTAAATACTTCAAATACTCCCATCTGGCTTTATAAAAACTAATTTTTGATACAACTACATATATACCAGCTCAGGAAGATAGCATTGCTAGCATTTTCTGAGATTTGCCACCATATCGCATGGTCTTCATCAGCAGATGGAGTTTACTCAGTTGCCATGGAGATGGATCTGTGGGTGAGAAAGCAAATCTGTTTCCATGACAACTGAGGAACCTGTCTGCTGTCAGCCTCCGCGCTCTTTGGTCCTCAGTCCTCAGAGCAGAAATAAGACCTTTAGGATGTCCTTCATCATGGCGAACTGGAACGACTTCCGGGTTGATTGAGGACCAAGAAACAATAAGGGAATTGGAGTTTACCTACAAAAACTACACAGTTATCTATATATTAGCAGACTATACACATTAATATAAGGTTTATTTAATTACTTTACATATATGATGTAATTAAATCTGTCTCTTTTTTCACATTTTTAACATTTTGATGATCCTCTCCTTTACACTGTCCATTTTTTTCCATATGGACACCTTGCCATGTATCAGTTAACACTTTATCCTATATATGATGTCCTTCCAACAGACTGCACAGAGGAAGATTCGGGAAATCATCCAGCAGGTCAAACAGCAGGAACAGAAACACCAGCAGAGCGCCGCTGTGTCACCGCACCACTCCAAGTGATGAGCGGCTTCAGCGGGCGCCAGCCAATGAATGTAGCCCTCCCAGTACAGACAGAGATCTACCCAGACAAAGGCCAAGGCCAACGGGGACATGCAGGGCAGACCAGCAGCACCGGGATCAAAACCAAAGAACTTCACTAAGGGGAAAACAAGTGAGAGCCAGAGGCTGAGGGCATTGTGTGCACTGCCAGCCCTGAAAGAGCAGAGACTGGGAGAAACCGAACTGATATTTAAAAAAAAAAAAAAAAAAAGACCAAAAAGAAAAGGTGGTAATGGCAGAGAATTTGGAAACTGTTGTCTTCACAGTTTAAAAAAAGGTTAAGAGGAAATAGGATGTCACCCAGCATAACGTTATCTCTTTAGTTGGACTAACATAGGCCTAACAAATGGATAAAGCACCTGTATTAACACGAACGTATGTAGGCATTGCAATTTATATTTTGGGTTAGAAAACAAGCAAATGACAATGAATACCTTCGCTTACATAAGTTTGAGATACTCAGATTGCAGGATTAAATATCCTGAGCAGTATTAGTACAAACAAAAAATGTATATTGATACACACTGAGAGTGTGCACTGTTATTTTTCTATCAAAATGACAGTACGACTTGGTGTAGTTTTTAACATTTTGCTTGTTCCAGACGTTGACTGGGCTGTGACAGCCACTAAAAGCGCTTTCCCATGTTTGTTCACACTTTAGGTCACTGCAATCAAAAAGAAAAACCCTATAAGTAAATACAGTGAATGGGTCTGAGTCTTTGTCACAAGCCTGTGTGTGTGCCAACGCAAAAGATAACGGCCCTTTGAAATGTCTCTCACCATTCATATCTGATGCTACACTTTTCAAAATTTCTTTCTTTTCTGTTCATTTCTGCTTCATTTTCTCTTCACTCTCTCTCATCTCTCATCTCATAATGTTGAACTGACTGCCACTTTTGCTCTACAGAGGTTAAATGCAAGAGAGGGATTTCTAAAAACCAGTTAACTGGTATCACTCTCCCATACTGTATAGTGGCAGACAGAGTGTACCTACATTCGTGCCTGTTGTCCTAATATGTATGGGAAAAGAATCGACAAGACGTCTCGATAGACGTTATCCTCAATGATCACAGCAAAAAAATGACGTCTTAAACAAAACCTGGTGCACCTTTGCTTGTTAACAGGCGACCGGTTGTTTTGAATGTGCACCGCCACACGCTTGGCCTTATGAGGATGTCATGAGGGCCAACAGAAAATGTGAGCTGAAGGCCCAGAGAGGGGACAGGGGCTAAGGGAGGGTGGGTGCAGACTTGAGGTGTGTGGAGTGGCAGTGAGTTTTGGGGTTGGAGAGTGGGGTTAGTTGGAGTAAGTGGGGGGTTTTCAGGGAGGCACCGTATGACCTGTGGTACACACACAACTGCAAAACGTGACCACAGCCGCGTTTGGCTTTAACCCTGTCTTGTCAAGGAGCTTTGTAAAACGGCATGACAGCTGTGAATGTACAATATGCAGCCTTTTTAGAAATATCACCCCTGCCGTGTCCAGCAGGCCAGGCCAGAGGCACAGACACACAGATTGTTACTCTCACTCTTGCTTTCTTCCATTTAACTTCACTTTTTGTTGTTTTATTTTGGCAAGCTGGCCAACTGCTCTGTAAACACACTGACACGCAGGCCCCCCTGTGTCCCTTTGTGATTACTTTGGAGACCATAGAAGCTTATTGCCTTATTTTGACACCTTTCAGATATCATCCATCAGCTTCTTCCAGATGCAAGGTTATTGCCAATACGCACATATTCCTGTGTGTGTGTGTGTGTGTGTGTGCGTATGAGTGTATAAAAAAAGAGAGTAATATTTATGAATCTATTTTTTTTCCTATTTTGTGATGAGAGCTATTGATAAGAAACAAAAAGAAAACAGTCCTTTTTTCCTCAGTGGGACACTGCCATATTATTTTGAAGGGAAGTGTTTATTTTCTTAAAGACTAGACTATGAATTATAATATAAATGAAAACCTGAAAAAAGGAGAGCAGTAAAGTGAATGACCGTGCTAACTTTGGTCAGGATGTGAACAGTGCGCATGTCATTATTGTGATCTACCTCAGGCTGCAGGGTACCTCAGTCCAATCTTTCATTTCCCCTTTTTTCACATTTTGTATGCCTTGTTAACTGATCATTTTCAGCATTTTTAATTTTCCTTTTTAATGAAAAAAAAAAGAGCAAAGATCTACAGAAATCTCTAAACTCTTCAGGTCCAGTCAACTTGTGAAACTTTGTAAACCATAGTCAAATCTGTTGGACTGTCTTTGCCTGGATGCCAAACAACCTCTTAATGATACATGTCAAAGGTTTTTCCAAGTCAAATTTTATTTTTTTTTGGTAGAAAGGAATGAAGAGCAGGATTTAGAGGGTACATACTGTGCCTGCCCGAAGTGGTTCTGAATCTGGATGTTGTGTACTGATTTCACCATCAGAGAAAGAGAAAAGGATATAAATCAGTTGATAGAAACTAACCAACTGTACCTCCTGTTTTCCCAACTGTACCTCCAGGTTTTTTGAGGCTTAAAAAAAAACTAAATCAATGTTTATTCACTTGTGAACAAATGAATTTTATACACCAACCCAGCTCAACCTTACCAGCTCTGTTTGATAACTGCATACTCTGGGGCTGATTTGAAGACATCTGCAAAAATACACTGACAGGACTCTTGAACACAGTGTTAAACCATAGCTTTCCGTGTAGAATGTAGAACAACTTTAGCTATTGAACTATCTGTGTACGACAAGAACACTGTATATCTGTAAATATGTACAACAGAGTCACACGTACAGTAAATGCATTGTTTTCTGTCGCTCTATAACACTTACCGGTCTGCACCTCCGTCGTGAGAGATGGTGAGAGAAGTTTAGAGTCACAGCCTCCCCCCAAAAAATGACCTCTAAATGGTTTTTTCATCAATCTGCAAACATTATTTTAATTTTTTTTATGCTGTATATTTCTGAATTACCTCTCAGAATCCAAGGCTGATTTTAGTTACTAAAACCAATGTAGGGCAAAAAAAGAATTAAATAAATGACATAGTGAAAGTTAGTTTGTCTTTGGAATTGTTTTAACTGTTGAGAGCTGGTTTTTCCTTTAGGAGGGCAGACTTTGGTCATCAGATGAGGTCCCAGTGAACACACACTAACAGTGCTACAGTAAAACATAAGGGTCTATCAAACTCACACAATGCCTGAGGCTGTTCCAGCAAGCCTCCTACTGTACCTCATGCCGATGAGGATAGCTCACCAGACCTGATTAATTAATACTAACTAATACTCTGACCCCTACCCGTATTACGGTGCTTCAGCTCAGACGCATGACTCCTGCACTGGAGTAGGGCATACCGAAGTGGAAACGGCTTTTCATAGCAGCACTGGAGATTGCAGGTTGCCAGTCATGGTTTGATTGACTGTCAGGAATTATTTAGAGCAGTTTTCTTGCATTGCAGTGAACTCTTCAGACCTCTGTCTCTTGTGTTTCTGGCTCTCTATAAGCGCAGGTTTCTCTCTAGCTGTTCCGGTTTCATGCCGCTGTTGTGATCAGTGCATCCTGGTTGTTGAGACATCTGTAGGCCGACCGCAATCTGAGGCAAAACTTATCAAGATGGTAGAAGACTTTTTTTTTCCTTTTATTTCCAAGGATTCTTGTTTCTAGGTTTTGTGGGGTGTTGCTAGGCATCAAGTACCAGAAACCCACAATTACACACATCACAACAGTGAGGGTGTACAATATTGTTAGCCATATCACACAGCGGTTGGATAGTTTAGTTTATTTTGTTTTCTGGTTGATCTTGGTTTCTTGTCTGTTACACTGATTTAATAATGCAGTTACGTCTGGAGCAGTAGGTGGGATGCTTTAATATCCATTCCTGTTAGATCACTACCAGTAATACTAGCTGTTAAAATGTGGTTGAAAAATATTCTAGCTAGGATTTTGACTATTTTTGGAAATCATAATGGCAAATAAATTACAAGTAGATATGACTGACAAGCAGGAGGGCTGAGAGTATCCAGGTATGAAAATAAAATGTTCTGCCGTTGGGACTGAACAGCAAAGAGGGCATTTAACAACCATTCAAAATGAATGGATTAGCTGAGGATGGATTTAGTAAAGTCTGGGCAGATGCAGGCAGAACCACAACAGAGTTTTTTGTCCTGTCTTGTTAAATGAGCAAACACAAAGCATTGCATGAGACTGTTGTAGGTGATCCAGTATGTACTACTACATCATATAGCACTAGACTTTCAGCAGTGGTTTTACCTGATGGTTTCTGAACTGCATTGCACCATTTGGGAGGTTCCTTTTGTTTCCTCAGTAGGTCACAACACTCAAGTCCTACATTTCCTATGGACCACAAGGTCCTAAACACCTCAAGGTATTCAGTGGCTGTGCACTGGAAAGACATATGATCTGTGTTTAAATACATCTTGTGGATCCATGCCTCTCTGGTAACAGCCACACTGTTATTTTGAGTTGTGAGTGAACTGTATTGCTGAGCAACCTGGATCTGAGCAATAAAGAACATTTGACAAAAAATGTTTGACATGTTTACTGTTTTTTTCTCTTTTGTTTTTGAGTTTTTCCACCTCTGAAATAAAAGGTGCCACATCATTTGTGACCTTACAGACCACAAACGTCACAGCCAAACTGTGAAATACATTACATTTAAAAGAGTCTACATCTCTGGTTAAACAAAAATGGAGACCAAATATTTGACATAAACCCACATGAAGACAGTGTTTCAAAACAACACTCCATGCAACACAGACATTGTAGGACCAGGACACAGTTAAAAAGACACATGGAACATATTGAGCAGCAGCAAATCATGATTTTTAAGCCATATCGAGGCTTGATTTAACACGTATCACAGCACAATCATTTTCAAATAAGAATCCAGCTGAATAATAGCATGGCGTAGTTAAACAGCTGTACATTTAGTCACCCATGTATGTCAAGTCAAAACTACTCCAGTACATGGCTCACTGGTCTGAGACCAGCCTACACAGTACATTTTGAAAAATGTTCAGAGAAGGAAAATAGTAAAAACACTGCCCTATGCACTTTATTATAATTTATACTAAAACTACAAAATGTGCTTGTCAAACAAGAAAAATACAACTGCGAGTTGTACATTATACACCGCAAACAATCTGTATTTCAGTTACAGATACCTTACACAAACCCAACAAAACTGGACCATCTGGACCATCCAGCCTGTACAAACAAGGGTAGGCATTTAACATTTACATTAATATTTCCACTTATCCATGCTGGTGGTAGACGTCTGAGTCTATAACTGCATGAGAGGCACGTTGAACACCAGCTGTTACCACTGAAGCATTACTCACACTGTGTAACACAAGTGCAAAAGCAAAAATCGTTAAACGTACCCTCCCCGTCTCCATACAATTAGTCTATATTCATATATTTATAGGCATAGTCTGTGCTCACAGAAACACCAGCTTTTGGTAACACAAAATACTCAACTTCAAATCCCACTGTGACAGTCGCATTTTAAAAGTCACGTTCCTTCTCCAGGTGGCTGCAGTGAAGGGAAAAGAGGCTGTCACACACAAGTCTGCAAGGCAGCTTTCTGAAGAGTGGCCACTTTAAATACATGCACTCCTTCAGGGCACAGGGCGCCGAGGTGCAAGGGAAGAAACTAATCTCCAGAACAAATCACTGGACCTTCTTATCTGTGATGAGTCCATTCTGTGCCTGGGCATCCAGCTTGAGACGCCTCTGACTGAAGCGCCGGATAAGGGCGCCGGGCAGCAGCGCCATGCAGGCAATGGCAAGTAGCTGCACCAGCCGCTCCCACGAGAACAAGTCATCCAGCGACGACACCTCAGACAGCATGACACCCGTCTGGACACAGATGAAGTTGTACGGCAGGAGGCCTAACAAAAACACATTGAACACAAACTGCAGTGAGACTTCATATACAGCTTTATTTGTGGAGTTGAGAGAAATGCTTTGTTATTCCTTTTTGAATTGATGCATTCCTGAGATTTACAAATAAACCCCTGCAATGAATAATAAAGGACTTTTAATGTGAAGGAACATAATCAAAACACTGCTGTAAAAGTGTTAGGGTGAACAATAAATAGCAGTATTTCAGCGATAACAACTGGCAACGAGCAGTTTGATATGCGAGTTTCAAAGCTACAGGTGACGATAACAAAGCTCCAAAGAATCCAAACCATCTGTACCCAAAATGCAGGAGGACTAATTAAATAAATAAATACAGTATGTCAAGGGGGAACAATAATCTACTCTGCAGAGTACAACGTTCTTAATGAACTGATTAATGTTGTCTAAAAATACATAAAATAGGGAAAAACATCAATTATAACTTCCCAGAGCCCAAGCTGACATGTCCAAACTATTTGTTTTGCTGGTTGGACAAACCAATATACCAGCTATTCAATGTATAATGAGTGATACGACAAATATACTCCAACCAGTATGCAACCTATTAGGAACAAACATTATAGAGGCCTTTTCATTAGTATGTTAGTTACTTCAAACTCCTTTTTCCTTTTGTGTTTATGTTACTTTGGTGTGTGGTACACCAAGAACATGAAATTGTCAGTGTTGTTTCAATTAATGCTGGCCTTACACCTAACGAATATTCAGTCGATTTTGGTGCTGCAGACAAATTTCCAATGTCAGAATAAAATCAGGAGAGTCTTGCTACAGTAGTGTTGTGCTCGTGTCATCTCAATCATTTGGTGATCTGAGCCGTTTCAAGTCCGCCTTTTTCTCATCTTGACGCTCTGATAAAATCAAACATGCTTATGCTTACCAATGAAGACTGAGCCGAAAAAGAAGGTGATGGGGATGTTGACAATCGGGGCGGACATGTTCAGAAACCAGTTGGGAGTCATGGGAAAGAATCTCAGGAAGAGCAGAAAGAAGAACAGACAGTCCTGGTTCTCCTCAACCTGGAAGAGAGAAATCTGAGGTTTACATTTTTTAAAGGAGACAGCAATACATTTCTTTTCTGTAAATTTGTTTGGGTCTCAATGTTATGTCCCATTGTTTCTGACATGATAAAAATCTAGTGTTATACCACAGTAACCACTACAACATGCTTAGCATCTTACCAGAAACATAACAAAAATCATCATTTAAACTTATTATAGTCAGAGAATATATAGTCTATTTTTGTTAACCGCACTGCAAAACTAAATGTGTTGCTTGTTGCATCTGAACACTGAGAAAAAATACTTTGTGCACCATAAATTTCAGATGTGTAGAGTTCTCCTAAGTTGTAGGAAGATATACATACATATATACATACACTCAGTGAAGCCATTCAGTACAGACCCAGACTCAGTCAACTCAGTGAAGTCATTCAGTACAGACCCAGACTCAGTCAATAAGGGGAATTTACTCCCATTTCCATAGGCAAGTTAAGTTTATTTCTACATAGAAATATAAAAGACCAGACCAAACAAAAACACCCACATGTGTAGGATTTGAAAAAGAATAAGACACAATAGGACACAGAAACACTAAAATAAAATAGGACGCATTAGAGTGCAACTATGATGCAATGCAAGATATAAATAAATGGTCTCAAATTTAACTTTATAAGATGCAGTGAAATAAGATAACTGAGATATAGCAGACCTCAAGTTTCCTGCCAGACATGTGGAGCATCAACACTGAAACTGAATTTTTAGGTGGAAAATCTATAAACAATCAATCTATGCACCGTGCTTTCCTGTGACCAGTGCATCATGCACTGTTGTGGATAAGGTGTGATTTATCATTTCAGAATGGCGAGATGTACACACCAGTGATGTGAACCTCATGCCAACATGGTCTGCATCTCATTTTAAGAAGCATCTTTGCCTGGACTTTGGTAACTTTTACTTGTGTTCTTACATACTATGCATCATGTATAAGTATAGTGAAGACATGTAGGCCTCACGGTGTATTTGCTGTATACATGGTGTATTTATATTAACTGTCAGCAATGTGCAGATCTTTTCCTCACTGTGTAAAAATTCTACATCCATAGAGGAACAGCTAATTGCTGAAACTTGAACTTGTGGCTGTACAAGTTTGCATGTTGTTAAAATAATTCTATACCAACAGTTGTTGTTTTGAATTCTCTTTACGTGGTGTCACACAAGAATACCTTCCTCTGTAGCATGGAGACTTTATCGGGGAAGAGGTTCACAATGTAGCGTTTCCCGAAGGCCTGGGACAGGAGGTAGCACATGGTGGAGCCCACAGTGGTGAGCATACAGGCTAGCAGCAGTCCCTGATATGATCCAAATATGGCTCCTGCGAGAATGTTCTGCACAAAGACAAGTGGGGACCAAAGGCCTGCATTACTAGACATCATCTGTACATGACACACATATCTACTGTATCTCTACTTTGTGATCTAACAGCGGTTACACACAAGGAACTAAGTGAGAGCAACTTAAACCTGCGTGTGGTGTGTGGTTTTGGCCTTTTCTGTGTGCTGCACAATCAATTATACTTAAAGTATTACAGTATTCTAAGTGAGGAAGGGAAAGGGTGAGATTTCATTAGATCAGCATAGCTGACACACAAGGGCAAGTTTGACATCCCTCTGTTGTCTGCAATAGCTGAATATTTTTATCCTGTGCCATGTGCCTTTAAAGAAGAGACCCAAGCTGCACACCACACGCAAGTCAATCCTGAATTCTTTCTACCAGCATGACAGTTTTTGGCAAGTATAAATCCACAGTGTCAGATTTTTCTATTGAACATATTTAAACATGCAAAAATGCTAGGATTAATTTTTAATCATGGAGATCAAATAAACTGTTTTAACACATCCCACACAAGACCCGTCAACATCTGCTGTTTCTGTCTTGTTCAAAATGTCTGCCTTGTCATCCAGCATCAGAAAGAAGAACATCGAAGACTATTTTTACATTACCAGGAATGAGGATCCAGGAATGGCAAAAGACTGTTTGTAGAGATATGCACTGCAGAAGAGTAACAAGACATATCCAGTGTGCTCAGCCTTGTAAAACTGCAGGAGCTCAGCCAGTTCCCTCAGCTCCTCCAAATCTGAAGGGAATTTCAATCTGCAGGGGATATCAACACTGAAGTTAGTCACATCATTCACTCATCCTTCATGTACAGAAGGTGTTCGGCAATATAAAATATGTCAGTGTAATCAAAAATATTTCAGTATGCCTGTTAAAACTCAAAATCATTTATTACTGTTGATTAACCCATATTTTTAACATGTCATTTCGACTTGGGCAGTTCCCTAACAATATGAAAATTGCAAAGGTTATTCCACTGTATAAATCTGGTGATAAACACAACTTCACAAATTATAGGCCGGTTTCTCTGTTGTCACAATTTTCAAAAATTCTGGAAAAACTCTTTAATAACAGATTAGATACATTTATTGATAAACATAAAATCCTCTCTGATTGCCAGTATGGGTTTAGGTCGAACCGGTCAACATCTTTGGCCATTACCGACCTGATGGAGGACATAACAAGTGCTATGGATGAGAAGAAATACACGATAGGAATATTTATTGACCTAAAAAAGGTATTTGGCACAATCAATCATGAGTTATTAATGGATAAGTTATGGGAAAAAATATGGGATCAGAGGAATGGTTCTGAAATGGATTAGAAGTTATTTGACACAGAGGCGTCAATTTGTGAAGTTGGGTGAATATCAGTC